CCTGCTGAAGCCGCGCCAGTTCGATCTTTATACGCTGAAGCTCGTTCTGCAAATTCCGATTAGTTGTCTCGAGATCCTGGCGTTGTTGCAACCGTTTGCTCCTGCAGTTTTGAGCATAACCGCGATTCTTCAGCGTCCGCCGCTTCTGCTTCAGTCGCACGACCTTCGCATATTATTGTAAATTTATCCAATTAAATATATGTTACAATTTATGACGGAAACAACATTCTCATGTTTTACAACAAAAATTAAAACCGATATAATTTTTAATTTGAGCTAAAGTTATATTGTAGACAGATAGTAATGATCTTTGTTGACAGATAGTAATGATGTTTATATTTGCGGACCCTATTAAGAAATAAAATATGACAAAACTATTAGGCACAAAACTACAGTTTTGTGCCTAATATTTTTTTTACTTTAATATTGGAGAGAGGATTTTAATAACACGTGTGTAATTTTACATGTGTATGTGTTTGTTCTTTAATCTAAATTTAACATACATATAATGCATAAAAGATATACAGAGTGTCATAAAAAGAATAAGTTAACATTTTAAACTTTAAGAATTTTTAAACGCAGTTCAAAATTATTTAAAATTAATGTAGTATATTTTATCGGACAATCTCATTTTGTCTTGAAATTCCATTATATAATATTTAGCTTCTAACAACATGGATGACTCACTCTTGTTCTACGTATTATTACTATTACATTTTTGATATAATATATTTCATATACTTTGTAATTGCGCTGAAGATGGTCCAAAAAAATGACCGAAACGTACGCTTTTTATGATTGTGTCTATCACTTAGTTAAAATATTAATGTAATTTGATTATAATAAAACATATGCGCACAAATTACCGCGCTGACTCTTGATTGCCTTTTATTTTCTTCGTATTGTTAGACATTTTTATCAGATTAAGATCTGATTATTGTGCAATATTACACCGATTTTAATTTTTTATTTGAAGATATATTCATTTTTTCATATACTTGGCGTCGCGACGCTGCTACGTTGCTTGATAATATAATCGTACATGTTATGACATATCTTCACAATTATGTGCAGACCACATAGACTTTTATATATTACACTAAAAACCATTAACACGGCTAAGTCTCATATGGTAAAATGTGATGCAAGGGCATCCATTTTCTCGATAGGTAGAAGGTCATGCCGGGTGTCCCAGAATTTGATACATCGTCTCTTGATAACGTAATAATAAACGGACATTTAAAAAAGAAACTAAGATAGTGAAAAATATCAAGAGTAAATATAGTGTATAAAAATAAGAAATATGCCAATGACGCGCGCGTGGCTGTTATACTTGGCTGCCTAAGTAAATATTATAAAAAAAGAATATCAAAATTTTTCATTATAAGTACACAACTTTCTTATCTTATTTTTTTTAGAAACTTAAACTAGACTTTTTTATTTACAAATAAAATATAATTTTTAACTTAAACTATATTTTGATGTATTAAATACGCATCAAATATTTATAAATCAAAACTTCTATATGAAATATTGCAGCTTTTTCTAAAAAATAAGTGTTAATTTACAGCCTAATTGAATATACTTGCAATTAAAAGACAAAATCGGACACCTAATAAATATAATAGAAAATCTGTAATGAACATTTTATTTAATCTGTATATCCTTCCATCCAGAAAATGGCTGCCCTTGCGTCAGCTGTTAAATACGCATCAAATATTTATAAATTAAAATTTTTATATAAAAGACTTTTATATACAAGAGCTTCCCTAAGTGTCAATTTACAATCTGGTTGAATTCGATTAAAAGACAAAATTTGACTTTCAATAAATGTGATAGAAAATCTGTGATAAACTTCTAACACATATATATTCATCTATCCAAAAAATGGCGTTGTAACAGCTTTAGCATCGGTGTTAACGATCTAGTATAAGATAGGATAACTCGGGGGAAGATGCCATGTCGGGTAAGAAGTCGGCCACTTTTCCGTAATTTTTAATTTTTTTCGATAAAGGGTACCACTAATCTACTCAGCTGATCGCGTTTAGTACAGGTGACGAAAACGATAATGTACAGTCATATTTTTATGCCATATTTTTAAATTAATCAAGATAAGTTAAAAATATGGCTTATATAGGGGAAAGTTGGGTAAAACCGGGTAGACGGATCAAACCGGGTACCCCTGTTTTTTCATAATAAGTGCTGCTATTTATGGCTAACTTACTAGTTGTAGATTGGCGCCATCATTATTTTAAAACAAACCGTGCCCCTGTGCACACGATATTTCTTTTTTAATAGAAGTTCAAAGTTTTTAGCCCCAAAAAAATCGATATCGAAGTAAGAATCGAATCGTCGTGCACTTTTTCTGTATAGAGCATCTGTTTCGGTAAATGCAACATTCCATTCTGTACATATTAGAAAGTATATCATATTAGTTTTGATCAGCCGGAATATACAACCGCCGTATTTGTTACTTTCCTTGTGTTGGGGCAAAACCGGGTACTTACACATCTCATGTAATGAAAAGAGGAAGAACTGTTATCCTGACTTTGTCTCCCTACAAAAAACAGTTGGAAACAAAAACTAACATTCAGAAAAAGAAACCATTAAAAAAAAAGTTTTTGAGATCCCTAAAGATAAAAAGTTAAAGAAGGAAGTCCTGCAGCAATGTCGAACAAGAGGATATCTTTATTTGTGATTTTTGTCAATAGAATACATCTTTATATTGTATTTTGATTAAAATAAATCTAGATTTTGTAATTACACGGTGTTTTGCATATTTTCAAATGGATACCCGGTTTGACCCTACCGGTAGGACAAAACCGGGTACTTTGACTTCTCCACGAAGTCTTGTTATTCTTGGTAATAAAAAA